AATATTTTGACACCTAAAACCCCCTAAACACTCAAAACTAAACCCTAATACAACATAATTAACCCAAACATAAATAATATAAAGAAAAAATAATTTTGAAAAAGTGGCATTTCTATAAAAATCTCAAAAGTGTGGTATTTTTGTAAAGTGGCACTTGAAAAATGGCATGTTTTGAAATTTCTCAACATTAATTGTATTTGTGGTTTACTTATATTATAAATATTTATAGAGAGTATTTTGTATTTTTTTATATGTTTTTCAAATTCAATAGTTTCTAGTGTCACATGACATTTTTTTATCGTTATTATGAATAAATCTTAATAATTTATATATGTATTTTTAGAGCTATCAATTTCAATAAAACCTAGTAAATTATGGATATACAAAATATAATGAAAATGAAATATTTAACGAAAATTGATGGTATATTTCAAATGATCATGGAAATGTCATTTAATTCAGTTTTGCAAGTTTAGTTAATTTCCTAACTTTTAATTAGCTGTTTAATTACTCAAGTTTGAGCTGATTTCGCATTAATTTCCTAACTTTTAATTAGCTGTTTAATTACTCAAGTTTGAGATGATTTCGCAAAATTATATTTTAAAAGTCAATGTTAATATCTTTGTTTTCTTAGTGAAAGTTGACTTTTATCAGACCAAACTTACAAAATCAGCGTTAATTAATTTGGGGATTCAATATGCAACCACGATAGTGGAAAATAAATCTGTCAATTGTAGTTGCACAACAAAAAAATATGTCAATTGTAAATACTTGAAGAATTAAACGACTGTTTTTCCACATATATTAACAATAAAACAGCTTAAATCACATGATGATACACAGATGAAACTATTTATGAACCTGATTAAATGTTCTTCTAGATTCTAATCATGTGTTTAATTAGAATTACAGGTAATTTATGAGCATAAACGTTCATGGGGTTCTCTACCCTAAAGGAAATCGATAAAGAATGAGTGGTCAATATCTTATCAGTATGAAAACTAATAAAGACATATGAAAATATAATTAAAATATATAAAGCTTATATGGTGTATATATGGATTTGTGTATTGATGTGTACAGGATGAATTGAAAAGAGGAGACGTTCTCAAATCGGTCCAGTGTTACATGAATGAGACGGGAGCTTCGGAAGAGAAGGCGTGCACGTACGTGCAGCAAATGATCAGCGACACATGGAATGAGATGAATTACGAGATAATTTCACACGATTCATCACCTCTTCCACGGGGGTTTGTGGAAGCTGCAATAAATCTTGCACGCATGTCGCAATGCATGTATCAATATGGTGATGGCCATGGCTCTCCCGACAAGGCTAAGACCGTTGATCGTGTCTTGTCTTTATTAGTTAATCCAGTTCCATTAGACTGATTTACA